CTTTGAAGAGACTTTCCAGCATTCGCTGCCGTAAAGAAAGACAGATGTCACGTAACAGCACAGTACTCTTTTCTTTGTTGCCAAAGAAATACTCCTGTCTCGCAATACTCCGCGTAGCTTTTGGAATGCGTCTATCGCCATCCCAATCCGTCTTCGGTTCTCAGCGTCGCACTTACCTTCCTCCGTTAAAACATTTCCCAGATATTTAAACCTCAGCATCTGCTTGATTTTAGTCTCCCCGAACTGTAAATCACATTTCGGGCTCATCCTTTTACTGATGACGAAGCATTCTGTCTTCTTGTAGTTTATGCTTAGTCCCTTCTTCTCGCTCTCCTTCGCTACCTTCTGTAGGAGGATTTATAAATCATTTCCCTGTCTGCTATCAGTACTTTGTCATCTGCGTATATTATATTATGATTCTGACCGGCAATGCTTAATTCTGATAGAAATTTTAATTCTCTAACAATTTCCTTTCTGTACGGGTTGAATAAGTCCGGTGAGAAGACACATCTCCCCCTCCCAGTAACAAACATAATCAAACAAAAACAAGCTTAAATACAATCATTTAAAAAAAAAATAAACTAATTTTCCGATGATCGCAAAAGGCACACAAAGTCATATCAATACAAATGAATATATATATATATATATATATATATATATATATATATATGAAGAAAGAACAGTAAGATATATAATCCGGGGTTATTGATATTTTCTAATTGACAAAACAGTGCTCAATGTAAATTTACAGAGCATAAATATTATAAATTAACTGGGTTAAAATACATTATAAACCAGTTAATTTATAATATATATATATATATATATATATATATATATATATATATATATATATATATATATATATAAAAACGTAAAAGAACAAAGAGTAATACTTCAGGGTTCAGAACATTAATTTAAAACAGAGCTCATTACAAAAATAAAGCCGTAAATATTTATTTATTATGCAGTGTCGCATTAGAGCATGCAGATATCCACTACAAACTGTACATCTTGTTTCAACGTTAAAAAAAAAAAAAAAAAAAAAAAAAAAAACGAAAATGTTTTATCGTTTCATCAAGTGGGAATTACGATGCGACTGAATATTTTATTAGAAATACACACACACACACACACCCATATATATATATATATATATATATATATATATATATATATATATATATATATATATATATATACAAAATTTGTTACAAGCAAGGCGACGGTGCCACTAAGATGCAATGGCTTACTGGGAGTGAAAGAGATTTAAAAAAGAACTGAAAACAAGCTCCTAAATAGAAAACAAGTGATAAAGCTATATTCCTATTCAAAATCGGGAATGGAATGTGAAGCGGACAATAGACAAACCTATTATTTAACCGTGTTCTATATGAATTTCAGAGTTTGGATGGGGGTGATAGAAGTATAGAGTTTGGAATGGATTTGAAACCTAATCTTAAATTTCAAATGATCATGGAGGAATGTGAACCAAACGATGAGGAAACCTGTTTACTAAAGAGGAAGAAATATCGAAAGGATAGTGAATAAATTTACTTACTTTAGGCATATATGACAGTAAAATAAGGACAATAGTATAAAAATAAGGAAAAAGAGAATGTTTTAGGTTTCCAGATGTGTGACTGACATCATATCAAAGCGATATTCATAACATAGATTTAGTTTTATAACATCCAATTCATACTGAATCTGAAACTGACAGTAACCGTGAAGTGTTAATTACTATGTCCACAATATCTTTATAAATAAACAGTCTAAAAACGGTAACGAGCAGTCTGGTGACTTCCCTAGAATTTGAAGCTACACACATAAACACACACTCATATATATATATATATATATATATATATATATATATATATATATATATATATATATATATATATGATAAAATAATATAATATAGACACAGATAGATACAACCTCCACGTTCTCTCTCTCTACATACATAGACACATACCAATATATATATATGTATGTATATATATATATATATATATATATATATATATATATTTATATATATGCATATGCATATATATATATATATATATATATATATATATATATATATATATTTATATATATATATGCATATATATATATATATATATATATATATATATATATTTGGAATTTGATAGCAAATAATATTGACAGATAGATAGATACACCACCCTCTTTCTCACTTTCTCTCACCCTTTCTTTCTCTCTCTCTCTCTCTCTCTATATATATATATATATATATATATATATCGGTATGGAATTCGGTAGCAAATATATATAGACAGAAAGATAGATACATCTCCTCTCTCATTCTTTTTCTCTATCTCCATATATATATATATATATATATATATATATATATATATATATATATATATATATATATATATATACATAATGTGAGTGTTTTCATGTACGTATATATATATATATATATATATATATATATATATATATATATATAATGTGTGTCTTTGTGTGTATGCGTATATATATATATATATATATATATATATATATATATATATATGTATATATATATATATATATATATATATATATATATATATATATATATCAGTATGGAATTTGATAGCAAATAATATTTTAGTGCTTAAATATACGAATTGCATAATTAAAGTGACAATGATCGACGACTTCAGGACATTTTAATCTGGCAGCATGTTTTTTTTTGTAAAACTGGCATGGATAATTTGAAGAATAAGCAATAAAAATATCAATTACTGAAGCTGTCAAGTCTTATTTTGTAGTTGAAAATTTAATAGGGAATTGAGGCAATGCATTCTGTATTTTATGTTAATGTTGCACGATTAAGTGCATGAATGACTTGATAAAGGTACGTACAGATCTAATATCAACATTTGAGCCGATGTAAATAGAAAAAAGAATCGTAGAATTCAGAACTTAATACTAAATTGAAGGAAATTTTGAAGGAACATGTTGCACAAACAAAACCTAAAATGTATAGGAGACTGGGTCATCTCATTTGAATTAGGCCTTACAATTCAAAAGGATTCGTTAATAAAATATATGACTACTTGAATTATTTACATATTCGGACTGTTATCCTCATCTTCATTGCCATATTCACAACGTTTCGGCCGTTGTATGCCCCGGCCTTCTTCCTGTGATTAGAATTTCGAGAAAAACTCTCTATTTCGTCCACTGGGGTAGATTATTCGAGTTCCACGGGGCATGTTTCTTCCGGATGTCTCAGTTATTTACCTTTAACTAAATTCTCCATGTTTTTGTTCATCACTGCTGGCATTAAACTCACAACTCTTTGGGTATATTCACTGGATCTAACCAAATTCTCAAAGGGTTCGGTTCCAAATTCCAATCACCTGAAGAAAGCCGGAGCGTACAACGTTCGAAACGTTTTGAATGCGGCAATGAATATTATGAGGAAAACTCTCAGAATAATGTAAATAATGCAAGTAATCATAATACCACATCTCAGAGATATAAACAAATTTATACACACACACACATTCACACACATAGTGTATATATATATATATATATATATATATATATATATATATATATATTATGCATATGTGTCTGTGCATGTGTATGTTTTTGTAAAGTGATTGTACAAACACAACATTTGTCACTAGCTTCGACTTTAATGGACAAAAATATATTATCTATCTATCTATCTCTCTCTCTCTCTCTCTCTCTATATATATATATATATATATATATATATATATATATATATATATTTACATATATATATAATAAAATTATACTTAACTTCTGATAAAATTTATATTAAAAATAAATAATATATATAAATATATATATATATATAAATATTCATATATATATATAGGAATACATATCTATCTATCTATCTATCTATCTATATATATATATATATATATATATATATATATATATATATGTATGTATGTATGTATGTAATGAAAATATACTTAGCTATGCTATATTTATATTTGCAAAATATCAATGATAGAGCCTATATAATATTTAGGACTGCAGATTGCCTTCGGGATTGATACAGACTCCGGCCACTTGGTGTTAACATCAGTGTATTTTTATCACTTCCATCTTGATCTCTGACGAAGCGTTAATAAATAGAAAGTAATCATAATACTTCCACCTTATCAGAGATATAGACAAATACTGAAAAAAATTGAAATGCATTTTTCATAGAACTGTTAAACTTAGAGTAATATAATGTCAATGGTTGGATTTTGCAAGTATCCTATGTTAGCTCTCTTCCGAAAACGTGTTTTCCCTGAGATTTTCCTTGAGATTTTTCCAGAAATAACACAATTCTAGTACATGCAATATGCAAGTGAGTAATGATGAAAAACATATCAACAGAAATGCTAAAGCAAAATTATTAGTAACTGTTTTTTCCATAAGTCATTTGAAAAAAATTCAACTGCGTAAAATATATGTGCGATGTCGAAAATTTGATTAGATTTTTTTGCCCCATTGAATATCACATTTATAGAAGGAAAAACATACACATTTTAATTAAAGTTATTTGATTGCATTAAGATTTTAAAACGAATTTTCTACGCCTTATTGAGTAAAGTAAATAACTTATTCGCTTGAAAAAAGAACCAAATTGAAAAAAAAAATGTAGAAAAAAGTTTCAATTACAGTTTATCAAATGGTGATTCATTATTTATCAATACTCTATTTATATATTGGAATTCACAAATGTTTCATTTAATCTTGTTAATAACTACTGAGAAATTTATTTTAAAATAATGGTTTTCAAAAATTAAGTTAAATTAAGCAAAATATTTGCATGGAGAAGTGAACCACTGAACCATTTCGAGTTCGCAATATTAAAAATATTTGTGTCACCGGTGAACAGACATGGTGGTGCCATTTATTAAATGTTGGAATTTTTTTGCGATTGAATTGAGATTAAAAATTTGTGATGGCATATATTTATTCTAAAGTCAAGCTATTATATCTATCTATCTATCTATCTATCTATCTATCTATCTATCTATCTATCTATCTACTTTAAAAACCAGGAGGTCAGTTAAAATTGCTATGTTGGTTTTAACCTTATGACATTTCCGAATACAAAGAACATTTAAAACCAGAAATCCGAAATATTAAGTGTGACACCATGCATCCACGCGATTTAAAAGATATATTTATAGATATATGATTTGCTTTTTTACGGTTTATCAACCATTTGAGGATTATTTAAGGCCAAAATGTATTTTAGGTTTTAAGAATAATTCTTTCTTTTTTTTTGCGAGAGGATCGAACCGCCATGCATTCAGACGATTTGGGAGAAAGAAAGAGAAAACGAAGAAGAAAGAAAGAAAAAGTAATACGAGACGGGTCATAGGCGAACACACACACACACGGCTTAAGAGACGGGAATAAGAAAGGGGTTATTGTTGAATGTCGAAAATATCTAGGTCACCTACGAACAAGCGTTGACCGATTTCCGCTTATCCGCGAATAATGGAATTGTGTTATCAATAGAGGTCACCAATTAAGAAATCCATTTTGAAAACGTTAGATTTTGATAATGGACAAAACGCAGATGTAACTTGCAGTCTTGACTGGGTATGGAAAATTAAAATCCCACACAAGTAGTTTTCACTGGCTAAGTTTTTCTTTTGACAGAATAGACTTTTGCCCTGCGATAATAAAAATTTTGTTATCAACACATGAGCCGAAGGAAACTGACATATTTTATTTCTGCTTTGAGACGCCAAATTGTCTGGAAACTTGGAGAAAATTCCTTTCTTAGACCATGTCAGATAATCCAGCTGTCCAGTGAATTGGCGATAAACTGCTTGACAAACGCCACGTGTTGAAACCGAGAGTTGTCACATCAACCGCTCATGATAACGGCGATTTAATTAATTTTTTTTAGTTAAGCAAGGTATTTCTTTTCCAAAACAAAGCCACGGGTTGTTCACGCCTGACTAAGACGTCATTGGCCAAGTGGATCACATGACGCACGAAGGAGGAGGAAAGATACCGACCAGGACCTCATTGGCCGAGAGTGGTCACGTGACGCACGAAGAAAAATCAGTCGACGCCCCATCCAGAGTATAAGTATGAGAAGCCGCTACGAGGAAGTGGGGAGGGCAGTTCACGCCCTCAGAAGCATGGTGAGAGAGTGGGAGGAGAAAAGAGTTACCAAAAATGTAAAAAAATGGAAAATCCTTAACCAGAAATAAGAAGGGTGGATACGTATTTAGAATTATCGAAGAACCCCTGGCGCCGACAGACCCACCCCAGTTTTGACGGCGTCAATAAAAACGAAGCCCCACCAGACAGAAATCAGTTCAGCCTCGGACGGCGGGCAGAGTTCGTTCGCCCCAAGCGGGCAGAAGAGGCCAGCTCGTTTGGCCCTGAGTGCCGAGTTCGTTCGACCCAAGCTGGCGAGGAGAAGTTCGTTCGGCCCTGGCGGTAGAGATGGATGCCCAGAAGAGTTCAGCCCCGGACGGCAGAGAGAAGAGTTCGGACCCTGGCGAGAAGAAGTTCGTCGGACTCTGGCAGGCAGAGATAGTTCGCGCACCGACGGCAGAGATGAGTGCCCAGTGTTGAAACCGCCTCAAGATAGCTGACCAGATTCACGCAAAATTTTGGACTCTTCTTCAACCAAGAACAAGTAGTTTGAAGAGCGACTTAGAACCAGACCACAGAAATAAATTTTTCGACTTTCGTCCAAAGACACACCGAAACACGAATTTCTTAGAGAGCAGACAACTTGAAGCGTTAAAATTTGCCTAGCGAAAGCGTCGTGCCACAATCCACAGAACGGGTCGGGAGGTAGACACAGTCCTATGTACCGAACAACTAGACATAAAAAGTTTGTTACCTTTTTCTTTGATACTTTGAACTTTGTGAGTTTTCATTTTATTTTCTTTTATACATATTTGTGTGTTATCACCCCCGTTGAACTCAGCTTGCATTACGGCCCCAACCCCTGTTTGATCTCGTCTGTCTAAGATCAATTCACAACGTGGGTAGGCATACTGGAGATCAGTGCAGTTACCCTGGTAACCAGGCGTTGGAAGCAGGTTGGGAACGGCGAGGCTGGTATCAATCTAACCAGATTCCTACCCGAATCACCAAAGGGTTAGAACGTCACGTTTGGAACAGCGACACCCGGACGGAGCAGCGAGGAGCGAACAGCTGACGCCGCGGCGAAGACGTCACAATTGGTGCTGTTTAGGGACGTCACAACTGGCGCCGTGGTAGATCAGGATAGAACGTCACAGTTAGCGCTGCGACCGGGGGATGACGTCCCAAAGTCTTTGTTTACATATCAGAAACGTTTTTCTTAAGCGCATATGAGGCTGGATGAAAAAAAAAAATAATTAACTCCAAATCAGAACATTTACAATGCACTTTCTTTTTTTTCTCCCCTCCTCCTCCTCCCCTTTTTTCTTCACATCCTCCTCCTCCCTTTCTAGTAAACCCAACCTCGTGCGTTTGTTTAATTATTTTTGAAAATAATAATGTAGCGTTCTTTATTTTTTTTCAGAAACATAAAATAAGGCGTTAAGCGGTCATTTGATAAAAAATCACCTGAGGATGCCATAAGGCTGAAACCAAGGTAGCTGATTCAACTGACCTCCTGATTTTTAAAATTAAAAGCTTTACATTCTTTTTTTACTTTCTTTTTTCACACGTGTATTGAGCACTTTTTAATGTTACTCGTTTCTGGTCTGATTCAACCATTTACACACACACACACACACACACACACACACACACACATATATATATATATATATATATATATATATATATATATATATATATATATATATTGTATAATAAAGGTAAACATAGAGTCTATAAAAATATTTTTTTATAATTTTTCATACGAGTTCTTAGATACTGTTGTGGTCTCGTCTCACTGATCGCCTGAAGATTTTGAGAAATCAGTATCCAAAAGTCTAAATGAGACTTTCTTCTTCTTCTTCTTCTTCTTCTTCTTCTTCTTATGCCGTATTCAATCATGACGTAGCTGATTTTGGCTCTCCACAACATCCTGTCACTTAGCTCTTAATATATTTTTTCATTATTTTCCTAAACACTTTTCCTTCATTCATTTATGTAAATAAAACTAAGTATGTCATGCGTTGTTTTTCTGTGTCTCTCGGGCCTCCACTCTATCCCGTGAGTATTAGATTTTCCAAACCTCCTTTCCTTACTATGTGCCCTAGAAGCCTCAACTATCTCTTCCTGGTTTTAAGTATAATGTTACTCTTTCTTTTCTCTAAAACATCGTTGTTCACATGTTTGGTCTATGGTAGCCTCAGTCATCTTCTGTGAGAATACATTTCAGTTGCTTCTAGTCTCTTCTTCGTATTAGAGGAGATTGTCCAGCATTCACTGCCATACAGGATGATAGATTAGTGACCTGTTCTTTGTTTCTAACGAAGTTTTTCTATTTTTTAGTAATCTGCTTAGCTTTTGGAATGCGTCTTTCTCTATTCGAATACGCCTTCGAATTTCAATGTCACTCTTTTTATCTTCTGTTAAAACACATCCCACACATTTACATTTCACACTTTTTTGTATCTGCAAATTGCTGTTCTCATTTTGGGGTCATTCTTTTGCTAACAACCACGTATTCTGTCTCTTTGCATTTGATGTTTAGTCCTTTCTTCTCGCGTCCTTTCTTCTCGCTTTCCTACATTACATTCTGTAGGAGTTTTTTCTAGTCAAAATGGATTTATGACTTAACTTGTATTTTGGATTCATATTTTTCCTGATGACTATGCATTTTCTCTCCTTGTAGTTCATGCTTACTCCCTTCTTCATACTCTCCTTCGTTACATTATATAGGAGATGTTGTAGTTTGCTTTCCGTGTCTGCTATCATCACTGTGTCATTTGGATATCTTATATTGTTAAGATTATGACCGCCATTAATGAACAGAGATATAACTTCTCGTTCTCATAGAATCGCCTAGCTGTATAGATTGAATAAATCCTATGTCTTACGCCACTTTCACTTTTTTATATCAGCTGAAATTATTTTCTATCCGTATCCAAGCCCTTTGCTGTCAGTATATGTTCATCTTCATTATTTTGATTTCCTTACCAAGTATACCAAGGTTACTGAGCTGTTTCAATCGAACTTTGCGGCGTAATTCATCAGACGCCTTTTCGTAATCTATAAAACACAGGTACACGTCCTTCTGCATTTGCATTGCTTTTTCTAATATCATTCTGAGCATAAATAACCCGTTCCTTGTTCCAGTGTCTTTGACGAACTTGCACTGTTCTTGTCCTATTTTCAGTCTGATTCTGCCGGGTTGTTTCTGTTCAATTTAGATAGTACAGATGCCGCTTCAGATTTCCATATATACAGTCCGTTGATATTTTCTGTGTATTGCCGGTTGTTCTCTTATCTGTTATATTCGTTCCATCTCTGAAGTATTTTTTTTTATTTCTCCAGTATCAGCGTTCCCTGCTTGGATTTTATGAATCGTGTTGATGACCATGTCTTTTATCTTATTAATTCTCTTATATTTTTTAATGCATATCTTCTTTATTTGTATGACACATTCTTTCTGTTTTTGTACATTTTTCTTTGATTCATTCCCCTTTAGTGTGCGTGCATTTGTTGCTTATTCATTTTTGTCGTGAGCTATATTCTGTGACGTGTCTTGGCCCGTTTTTTTTTTTTTTTTTTTTTAGTTTTCATTGTGTTGAGATTTTCGTTTCTCCTCCATTCAATTTTTTCTTCGTTTTATTTTCTCTGGGATGATCTCCATTGTTGATTATACCAAAGCTTCTGTTACAGTGGCCACCTTCCAGTTTCCATTTACGTTTTGTCTATCGCATCAGCTTTTCACACTGTCCATATATTTCTGCTTTAGATTCAGATTGTTCACGATCCTGTCGTATTTCAGTTTGGCTGCTGCCACAGTCCTCTTCAATTTCCGTAGTTTCACTTTAAATTTACATATCACATGGAAATGGTCGCATTGAGAGTCGGCACTTGGATATGCTTTACTGTGGAAAACTGGATTCC